TGCAGTGTTTTTACATCTAGGTTTCAAGTTAAAGTGGGTAGAAACACTTTAACTTAATACCTGGTCTTGTGTCTTGATACCTTGTCTTGATACTGTAACTTAGCTGTTTATTAGTTTAGCAACAGCTAAAATAACTTAATCAATCAAATAATTTAAATAGAACTAGTTAGGATGTAAACTCCTTATCTTTTACTACTTTCAGGATCCAACAAAGCGGTCCAACAAAGATACCTGCAGTCAACTTTACTTCACTCATATGTAGAATTTGCCTGACAAACATAGAAATTTTGAGCCAATCTTGGTTCCTAATCTTGACGAAAGCTTTCATTAACTTCAACTTTATATTAAGTAGTAAAAAGTATACTTGGTGTGCTTTTACTAAAGGTTATAACTTTCTGAAGAGAACTCTGAAAATTTTGGAAATGTTGCATACCCTCTTTTGATCCCTAACATGATGACTATGAAGTTTAAATCTTTACATTAAACCATTTTTGATGGTCATAATTTGAAAAACTGAGCAACGGTTTAATATTTTTATAAATCTCTTTCAGAGTTACCGAGTTTGTCACATGAAATGATGACACGGTGATTTCATTAAAAGAACTGCTTTGATACTTCACTTAGGTGAATTAATAAACTCACTTCACTGATTGGCATTGTAAGCAGTTTCCAGATGACTTTGGAAGGTCAGGATCTCAAAACTAGATTATCAAAATTTTCGTAAGTACGAAGTTTTGCACTATTTCTGAACTAAAATCAGAATCATGATCATCATCAATTATTCAGAGTTTGAGCTCCATTCACTTTCAATATCATACAGTTTAGTAAAAGAAGTAGGCGCAGGTTTTCACGGTGTCTTTACGGTATCCTTAGACCTCAGGGTTGATGGTACATTAAGATATTAAATCTTGTGGGATAGTAAATCTGCTCCTCTTGATGAATCTAAAAATATTTGTAATGCAATCTGTCAGATGATTTAAAAGCTCACGCTAAATCATGGGCACACTAAATTGTACACCTTATACTTTACCATTAAACTATTAGGCAAGAGTGACTTCAAAAAATTTGAAAGTGGCTTAAGGCGCCTATGTTAAGTTTGCCTTGATTGCCCGTTTTACATCCAAAGTACGCATGATGATCTCTTTTTCAAATGTAATATTTTCTTCTTTTCAGCTATAGTTTAAAATTATCCACAAACATAGCAGAAACTGAATTCGTACAATGTCTTGGCATAGCAAACCCAATTTTGATATTAAAATCAATCAATAGAATGAAATTTAGAACATACAAACAACAGCATTAAACTGTTATTTTAACCTTGTATTCATTTAAATATCTAACACGAATATACAATATACAAAACACTGATGTGATTGCATTTCATTATCTGTGGTTCCAGGGTTTTGGAAAATTTACTCTTTAAAATAAAATAAGACAGAATAACAGAATAAGGACGTAACGTAAACGTATGCTTTAACATAAACCTTGTAAACACACTTTTGTAGTTTTCTCAAACACTTGACTTGATATACACAAACCATGCACATTAAAATTTATCATTTCTAATAAACTTTCAGAAGTTTATAATGCTTACTCGGAATTTTTTATGTAAATCAGAATTATGTATATATTATCAATTAAAACGCATAATTAGTCAGTTAGTTTGATATAAAAGTCCAAACTTAGCTTTTAGTTAATTATTTTTATAATAATAATATATATTAAATAACTTCAGTTAAAAGTCCAAGTTCAGGCTTTAGTTAATATTTGAATAAAATTCTAAATTCGTTTTTATTTGAAATTTAGGCTTCACATTTGGTTTAAATTCATTTTAAAGATGAATTCTGGGTCTTAAAAATTTAACTTGCCGGTTCTCAAAGAACGTTAGTATTCTACACTATAAAGAGACATAATCGATATAGCTTGTTTTAACTTGCAGAGATTTGGATCATTAAAAATGCATCTAATTTGGAGGAATGCAATTAGTGTAATTTAAAATATTAATTAACAATAAGTCACTTTTTTATCATTAAATTCTTATACCATTAATTCGGCCACGTGACCTATGAACAAACATGTCTTAGGCATTATTATGTACTTAATACTTTTTTTCTTCTAAATTATACAGACAACAATAATCTTAATTTATATTGTAAAAATAAAATAATAAAAATGAAAACTATAAAATAAACATTCTTATCAACACGTCGCTATATAACGAAATAATATATTAATATTCCCATAAAATGTACCACAAATTCAAATTAACACAACGAAATACCATTTCGTAATATCACAAATTTGATGTCAAAAGTTACGAAAACTTGTTTTCTAATGTTATTGTATAATAAAATTGTAAAAAACATTAAATCAATTTTTAAAAAAGTTTTTTTTTTCAAATAATAACTGTAATAATAAAAAAAAATATTAAAAAGTAAATATCAAAATTACTTTTAGCAAACTATTTCATCTAGATGACTAAATACATGCTATATATGCTAAATGTATGCTATATATGCTAAATGTATGCTAAATTTTATCAATACATTTAGAGTTTTGTTTATTTCAAGTTTTAATAAAAGAAACGAAATTTTGATTAGCAAATAAATAATTTCAGCGCAGTGCAACTAGGTTTATTTTTGTTGGTACACTTCATTTTTTACAATCGTTTCACGATTCTTAGGTAATTGTTTTTTTTATTGTTTAGTGACGCTTTTTTGCATAATCCTTAAATGAGCGAAGTTAACTAGTTCTGAGAAGAAAAATATAATTTTTAGTTTTTCTCCTTTAAAAATAAACCATTTACGGATTGCAAAGTTATTGTAGTCTTATAAACATCTGTCGCTGTCAGTTACAATAATTTTGATACACCGAACTATGTTAAAAATGCTTTGACTAAGTACATAATGATTATAAGAGATATTTACTTTGAACAAAACGTCTCCCTTTGTTTTCTGCCTTAAATGCGTGTAAATTTGTAAAGCATGTATTTCAGCGATGGTTTGTTTTTACCTAGTTGTTTTTTGTTTCCGTTTTAAACAAACGCAGAATTTTGTAATGAGAAATTTTATTTTAGCGGGTGCCAGTTGACAAAAGGCAGCGGGGCAGCACCCATCCCCCCACCCCCACCCAAGACCTATGGTGAAACGGCGATTGGTTTTTTTATAATTAGAAAGTATATCAATGAAAATAAATTATACCTAATTTATAAAATGTTGTAAAACATAAACTGTAACTGTTTCTTTTATCAGTTTATGTGATCTAAAATAATGATAAGATTTAACGTCAATAAAAACGTTGAGAAGATAGATAACTTCAATTAATATGATTTTGTTATTTAAATTTTTTTTAAAAGTAGTTTCCACTTGTAATTTTTTTTATACGTTTTTATGAGTACTGGGATTGTATTGATGCTTGATTGTGTTAAATTAAATATTTGTGCAAAATTAATTTAGTGAGATTTTTGTATTTCTCTTATCAGAGGTCCTAGGTTTGATTCCAGCTCTAGCCCAACAAACAACATCGAAGAAGGCGTGAATTTTCAGTTAAATGGACTCTCGCGGTGCTCTGTGATAAGACCGAAAATGCATCTGGGAGCACCTAAATAACTACAAAAGTTATAAAAATATATTAAAAATTTAGTCAAATGCGCAACGATGCCTTTTTCAATGTATGAATGTGCAACTTAGATTGATATTTGGTATTAATTTAGATTCATTGTTGGAGATTATCTATTAAACATTGTTATGAAAATAACTTTGTTTAATAGATAATCTTCTACAATCTTCTATTTATTGTGAAAATAAGTTTGACTATTTAAGTTAATAGCAGCCGTGGCGCAACAGTTAAAACAATGATATCAGAATTAAGAGGCTTGGCTGACTTTATATGCGATATAGGTCAGAAAAGCGGCTTGAACTTCTTAGTTAGCTAGTTTGAGGTGCTCCGTGATATCATTGTTTAGTCATTTTGGAACACCTTAATATAAAAGAAGAAAAAAGATACTGATTTTTAGCCTGAGCTATTATTATTTACCAAAAACACGAGTTAAAATAGGAGTTGTTTCATCACCGATACGGTATTATATTACACTAAATTTCCTTACAGATTGATAAAAGCTTTCGACATTTAAATTTGACTTTAAAACCTCAAAAAACACGTGTAAAACTTGAGTAAAACTGTCCGGAAATAAACGTGTTTTTGGATTGTGACAAACATGTGTCTATACAAGCTTTAATTCAGAAAGCAAAACTACTCGGTGTAGTTTAGGTACTTTTAAAACATTACATGGTCTGTTTGGTATTTTGTTGACTACGACATATTTTCGTTAGCCGGGTCTGTTAATAATGAAAAGACGAAAAATATTGAAATGATAAATTTTACGGTATCATAAAATATTAATGTTTGTAGCGAAAAAACCCAGACCGAAGATTCTTTTATTTTTTTTAAATTATCTTACAATCACAATCGCTTGTCCAAATTTCAATAAGATTTTATATTAACATGAAACTATAAACATTATAGTTTCACATTATGATCTGTTCTGATCGTTTATTGACAATTTTCCATAATTATAAGCGGAATTCTAGTATTTTTTGTGAAAATTAATAGAAATGTGGTGTTTTGACAACTATATATAATTAATATATGTCAGAACCTATTAGAATATATTATTTTGTAAATCGTTTTAAATACACCGTAGCTGCGCCGGTAGGGCATACTTTATAAATAATGGTGCCATAAGCTTTTTTTTATATATAAGGAAAACCAAAATGATATGAAAAATTTGAGACAAACTGTCTAACATACAGTTTCATAAGAACATTTACTAAGAATTTAATCAGCACGAAGGTTAAAAATTTTTTAAGAAAGAAAAGCTTCAATTCAGAAATTAAAAAATATCATTAATAATACTTATTTACAATTTACTTTTTAAAAAATTAAATATAAAATATTTCTCATATTCGCATTATTCTTCTGATGTAATAAAAATATTCAACTTATAGTTGTTCTTCAAACAGTTTTTTTGTTGATGGAAAATTTTGAATTGAACCGAGCTAAAAATGCAAAATATTTGTATTAACACTATAATTTTAAAAATAGACAAGATTGGTAGATGTAATCGGTAATTACCCATTACGGATGCTCTTTTACCTTAACAATAATCAACTAACATTTTTAAAACTCTTTGAATCATCATCAATTGTATAATAGTTCTTTCTACAGCAAGAAGGAATTAGAGAATGAAAGAAAGCTTTGTAATCAAATAATAGTCTGTCATCCACTTTTTTTTCTTCTGAAAAAATAATGGCATTATATATACATATACTATTTTAAAACATCAAGAAAACAGTTTCTTTTAAAACTAATAATTTTATTTTTTAAGCAATATTCGCTGGTTATATATATATGTATATATATATATATACATATATATATATATACATATATATATATATATATACATATATATATATATATATATATATATATATATATATATATATATATATATATATATATATACATATATATATATATATATATATATATATATATATATATATATATATATATATATATATATATATATATATATATATATATATATATATATATATATATATATATATATATATATATATATATGACCAGCGTATTTATGTATATCCATACGCAAATGTAACAATTAAATATATAATTTTATATGGATATTTATACAAGTTTGTACCTATACATATATATGTATATATATATATGCATATATGTATCTACACAAAATAATATATATATATATATAAATATATATATATATATATATATATATATATATATATATATATATATATATATATATATATATATATATATATATATATATATATATATATATATATATATATATATATATCCATATAAAATTACATATTTAATTATTGCATTTGCGTATGTATATTAGGGTGCGTCATACTTTTAAAACATTTTAAATAAAATGTGGTATGTGTTTTTAGTAACATTGAAATATATTTTTTTTAAGGGTAAAAATGAACTCAAAAAAATGAAAACAATGGATAAAATTAAAAAAATGTTATAATGAAAATTAATTTTTATTACACATGGTTGTTAAAACATTTTACCTATGTATATATATATATATATATATATATATATATATATATATATATATATATATATATATATATATATATATATATATATATATATATATATATATATATATATATATATAATATATATATACACGCATTATTGATTTGTAAAAGTAATTTTTACAGTAGTAAAAAAAGCAAGCAAATTAGGTAAAAATTAGAGTTTTATTCCACCCACAAAAGTTTTTTAATGTTTTTCATGTCATCCTCAGCCTTTTACAACTCTAAACTTAAGTTAATCTTTATGCTTATGTCAAATGAGAATGTTTTGCAAAAAATGGCACCAAAAAACTCTAAAAATAAAAACACTTAAATAATTTGCTCATGCTTTTTGGTTCATTTGGCTTCATTTGTGAGGGTGTTGAACTCTAAAAAAGTATTACTTAAAATTTAAAATGTGCAGATAAATTTCCTGAAACTGTTATATGTAAAACATCAAAATGTTCTGTAGGCGCACACAGATTTGTCCAATAATATATTATAATTACACAAAATGTTAAAAGAAAACGACATGTTTTTATGTGAAATAAAACTTTCTTCAAGCTTGAACATTAACTAAATAATTTGTTTAACTCCGGTCAATGAGTTCAAGGAGAGTCATAGCATCAAAGTTAAGTGTAGGTATTTTCATTTTTTTACATTTATATCACCTTACTCTAAATCTCCCCTAACTTTCATAATCATCTTGACTGCAAAAGCTCTATTTTCAATTGATGAACTTGCAAGAAGAGAAATAAGAAAACACTTAAAATGAGCAGAAAATGCCATATTTTGAACAGACTTACTAATGGCATTCATAACTTCAACTGTTTGACCTCTTAACAGATAAAGAAGTTTGATTAGATGATGGGGCCCATCGACAATAGAGTGCTTTACCTTGATTCTAAACCACATATGAAAATATACTTGAGCCACGAACTGAGAAAGAACTTTTAGATTTTTTAAAATATCACCTTCTAAGCCAATTTCACTAATGTAAAGCCAAAAAATTGCCTGACCAATTGTGAGCCACCTGCTATGGCAAAGATTACCACATTTTTTGTTGACAAGTGAAGGATTCAAGAAACCTGATTCAAGACAAGAAACTAACTTGTAGCTTAGTGAAGCGTCGGTTGACATTCTTTAAAATGTCATCAGGAATTTTAATCTAAGATTCAATCTGTCTAATTGGTTTAAACTTTTCTAGTCGTTTTAATTGATTTACTTTTGATAATAGTTTGTCTATAGGCCCTTTAAATCCATCATTAAAGTTAGTAGGTCGATCAAGATTTGCAATAAGGTGTCTTAAAGGTAGCTCATTGGTATGTAACATGCAAATTGACCAAAAACATTTTCTTTTAATAAGTTTTCTCTAGGTGAGTTAATAATCCGCCGTTGTTACCAGATCCAGTCACTGAATTTGTAGAATCTGATCCAATCACAACTATAGTTTGATCAATTCCTCTAGGAACAATCCAGTTATAAAGACCAATTGCAGCTTCTTTAGCTGGTTTGTTTTGACCCTTTGAAGGTGTGTAATGGGTCAAATAGCTTCCAAATAGTTCAGAAGTAACACTTATGCTTTCTTTCTTTTCTGTTCTTTGACAAAACGTTTTAGTAATTTAATCTTCAGTCAAAATTAGAGTAGGATTTTTTCTTCCATCTACAAATATGTCTTTAATAAAAGCTTCAATATGGAGCCATCCATAAAGGACATCACACTTTTTTAGCCAATTTTTGACCCCTCCCCTCCCTATGTCACCGGTTGTCATAAAATCCAGCCCCCCCCCCCCTCATTTTTAACCTTCAAAAATAATATTTCATCTCGCAATGATGTTTAAATCTGCTGCTACACCTAAAAAATAAAATTAAAAATATTCTCATACATTATCTTCTTGAAAACACTCCTATTTGGATGGCATCCTTTATGGATGGCCCCTAATGAGTTTTTCTGACAAAACTAGTTTTAGCCATAACCACTTTTTTGGCTCTCCCCAATTTTTTTATGATCACATCCTCAACTAATCATTTTTGAAGTCAAATAATTGGATTTGATCAAATCTTGAATGAAAAGCAGATACAATTGCAGATGTAGCAACAGGAGATATGTCAAATTGAAGAGATGATAGTGCTGCATAAGGGATCTTCATGTAATTTTGTTTAGTGGTAATAAATGGGGAAGTATTTTGTTTGATTGGAGCTGTCTCCTGAGGATTCTTCATTTACATTTTTTATTTTTTCAGGTGAGGTTTCTTGTTTTAAGTCATGCTCCACTGATTCATAAACTTTGTCTTTGATGTTTTCAATTTGAACCTGTGTATTAATATGAGGTCTTTTAATTAAATTTTGTCTTTTTTCTAAAGATGCAATATCTGTTATTTTACGTTTCACTACTTTACCTGACTTTCTGTTTCTTCCTTGTCTAGTTGATATATTTGGTAGCCTGATTTTTCACCAACCTTGTTTCTTTGAGATCTGAGCTATAATAAATCAAGTTGTGGCAACTTGATAGATTTAGAACAAATGCATAAAATATGGACTCCTGCAGAAAAATTTTTAACCTCCTTACAAGGAGAGTTTTCATCTGTACAAAGTAATGTTACCTACATTTTGTTATATCTAACAACTTTTCCAGCTTACTTTCCCACAATTTGACAGTTTTTTTTTTGTTTCTATTTGATTTGAATTGTCTCAACTTATGCCAGGCAGTTAAAATTTTATCTGACAGCATTTTGAGATATGATAACAGGAGTCTTGAACAAAGCATTGGATTGAAACCATTGTTTCAATACCAAGTCTGCGAATAGGTGACATCTCCTACAAAAAATATAAAACTTAAACCGTTTTAACATCGTTGTTTGAAATACTTGAACTTGAACTAATACTTGGACAACCTAAGACGCCCAGCGGGTGTCCAGATGGATGTTCTATGGATGTTATTGGATGTCCTGTGCCCACTAAAAGTTTATCAGAAATTCACTTTTCAATATCATTTCAAAAAACTCACCTATCAAAATCATCAGAAAGAAGCAAACTTTTCTGAATATGTGGACCTTTCCTTATTACATCTCTCATTGTAGGAACTTCAGTTTCCAAGTAATCCTACTCCAAAATACTTAGTTAAATTATTTGTAGAAGAATTTCTAGTTTGTTTCAATTTTAAACTCTCCATAACACAATATTCTATTTTATTTACTTTTTCACTATAAAACAAAAATAATTATAATAAAAATTCACAAGTAAAATGCAACAAATATTGCAAATTTTTAATATTGAAATATACAAAATTAAATTCACTACTAACGCAAAGCAAATAACATGTACAAAAAATCTAGTGAGATAGAGTTTCGCATAATGTGTGTACTCTATAACTTAAAGATTACAAATAGAAATTAAAATTTTAATAAACGTTAATAAAGTTTTGTTAATTGTGTGTCGTAAAGATGCATTTTTTAATGCTTTTTTTCATTCTTCAAGTTAATTTTTTTCACAAATATAAAAAATTTAATTTTTTCGTTTGAATATTGCTATGCTTACCCCAACCCATAATAAAATCACTCCCCAAATGTAATTTTCAAAAAAATTTTAGTATGACGTACCCTAATGTATATACATACATATAATATGTATGTATATACACACGTAAAATAACTTTTTATTTCAAATTATTAATTTGAATAACTAAATATATTATACAAATAAATACATATACTTATATGCATAATATATTTAGTTATTTTTATATACATATACATATAACTAAACATAATATGCATATATATATATATATATATATATATATATATATATATATATATATATATATATATATATATATATATATATATATATGCATATTATATTTATTTTCACATATGTTAGTAGATCATAACTATGTTAGTAGATGATAATTATGTCAATAGATAACTATGTTAGTAGATGATAAATATGTTAGTAGATTAAAATTTTTTAAGTAACTTAAATAAATTAAACTTGCTTAAAACAGATAATAGAAAATTACACAGTAAGACCATATTTTGAGTTTTTACTTAATATAGCTGTTCACAAGGACCACAAAAAAAAATTCGCAACATAAGTATAAGAAATACTGGCTTGATTGAGAAATACTGAATTATAGCGCAACAGTGAAATACTACATATTTATATCAGTCATTATGATCCTCAAATCATCTCTTGACAGAGATTACTGATCTTATAGGGCTCTTTAAAAACAAATAAAAACAGAAAACTCACCTTTAAATATTAAAGAAAACAAACAACCGGCAGCCACTGTAAAACTCACGCCAATTGCAGCAAACCAGAGATATGACACTGAATACCAAGATGCAAGCTGTGGATTAATGCTAATAAATGAAATCAATTTAAATAAAATTCTGACTATTTTATATTTAATTTAAAAGGAAGAACCACAGTAAACAGTAGTTCTTACTTTGGTACTTTATAAACAGGTCTTATTACACCACTTCCCCTTTGCCAATCCATTGTTGCATTAGTACTATTGAAACCTGGACATTTATATACATAGCTCACTGCCTCGTGTGTATTTGGAGGATACATCTTTACACCAATCGATAACCAAATCATTATAGATAAACCAAAAAAAGTTCCATAATATGCTCCCTAAAATGATTTAAATTTGGAAACCACTGTAACCATAACAGCTACTTAAAAAGTGCAGCCAGATATAAGAGACAGTTTTTAATACCTTAGTGTTAGAAAAAGGCACCATCATCCCTAGAAAAAATAAACCAAGATAAGGACCACCAATAATACCAGAAATTGTGTATCCAAGCTAGAAGAAAATTTTTGTTTAAAAAGTCTTCTAATAGTTATGATTTAATGAAAAAAATTATAAATTATAAAATTTTATAAAAATTATATTAAAATAATAAAAGAACTAAAAGGCATTTTTTTAAATGATTTTTAATCAAAAATAAATATCTTTAGTAAAATAAGTAAAAATTTTACAATGATGTATAGCTGTTACATGGTTACATTGATGTATAGTTGTTACATGGTTACATAAAAAAAGGATGCTTTATTTTTTTAAATAATTTAAAAAAATACTGATGATATTTTTTAATTTAATTCATTTTTTTCAGTAATAAATATGCTTGCCCTAAAATAAATAGTACTTAACATGTTTGTAATCTTAAATAAAGGGCATATATTACTGAAAAAATTAAATGAAATTGATAGACATAAAAAGAATGGTTAGATTATGATTTTAGAAAGTTTTTCCTAAAAACCTGCAGAGAACAAGAGCTTAGGATCAAATAGTGCTCACTTATTTTGCTATAATAACATTATTGAGAAGAAGGGAGCAGATGATGTAGCAAACATGCTGGAGTACTATTTTGACTACAGTTTATTAAAAGATGTGTTCTATTTGCAGCTTTTTTGTGATTCATGTGCTGACAAAAACAAGAACTATTATTTATTTTACGCTTTAATGCATTAAATTAAAAATGGTTTTAATTTACTGCATTAAAGCGTAAATGGTTTTAATTTACTGCATTAACTATCTTTCCTGCCACAACTACATGGAGTGTGATATGTCGTAATAAAAAATGGATGGAAGAATTTTGTAACTGTTGTTAAAAACCTTCACCATTTGAAAATATTAAGAGTTAAACATGTTTCTAAATTTTTATGAACATGTCAAATCATTTTACAAAGTTAAATATCCAACGCCAATATACCCTATTTGTGAAATTATTTTTTTCTAAGAATTCTCTGCCATGTTAAAGTACAGGTTCAGTTGAAATTGACCTTGAAAAAAGAGCTGTTATTTATTATTGTTATATTAAAAAAACTTTTGGAAAAAAAAGAAACAAATATTACAGAAAATCCCCCATATTCTTTGTACAATAAGAGATTATTAGATGTGAATTGTATGCTGACTTTCAAGTTTAAGACCTTCAAACATTTTTGCATGTCTAAGGCTTTAATTGTCAAAGGTTTTTTAATGACCTACCCCACAATCAGCTAAACAATGATGAATCATTTTTAGATTTTTCTGAACTGGTGTGCATTTAAATTACATTAAATAATAGTGATTGAAGGAAAATTTTTAATATTTTCACAAGCTGTATTATTCAATATATTTGAAAGTTGGATTAATTTCTAGAGCAGTTGTGTCATTTAATAGTTTTCCAATACTGCTTCTCTATTTGTTACTAAATTAAAATTGGAAACTTTCTATATTTTAATTTTAAAAGTAACATATATATATATATATATATATATATATATATATATATATATATATATATATATATATATATATATATATATATATATATATATACTCATATATGTTGTTATTGTTGATATTGTATATATAATTATTTTTACCTGCAAAACCATGGAATCAAACAGCGACACTAAGAGTGCTAAACCAATAACAACAAGTCCCAAACAGCAAGCTTATAAAATAAAGTAATAATAATTTATATACTTTTTAATTATTAGATCATTAAAAATATTTAATATTATTAGTTATGTTAAAATTTATTTTTAAAACATTTTTTAAATAAAATTAGAGCAAAAAATGCACAATATAAAATCTTAATGATAGCACCAAGAATTAGCACAATTCTTTAGCTAAAAAATGAAGAACAACTAAGAGGCGTAAAATTTATTTAGAACCATTAAAATGACATCAATCTTAGAACCATAACTTTAAATCTCAAAAAGAATTTAACAAAAATACAGTTGGAAAAGTACAAAGATTGAAAAATTCTGATGTTAAGAAAAAAAGTGAGATTACAAAGCACAGTCTGATCACCTTAAGGAATAAATAAAAAACTGATAAATACTGATCTGCATTGAAGCAGCCAAAAACAACGTTAGGGGGTAAAACAATGTTAGGCGTGTAAAATAAATAATAATAATTGAATTTTTTAAGGAAATTTGATCATTACATTGAAACATCAATATTTTATTAAAAATACCATATTTCAAATAAAATTTAAAATTTGTAACATGTTTCAAAGGACCATATATAGTTAAAATTGCATTACTTGCATTATTTTTAAACATATCCCATAATGCATGGGGATCTTACCTATGATCAATTCACAACTTTATGACAGGTACCAAATTTTTTTAAAATAGTCCATTGTTGTTGTTTTTTATTTGCTACATTAATTATGTGGAGAAAAAAAGCGTTCCTTGAATTAGATGTTATAAATCTGAAGAAGCCATCTATTGCATTTTAATAATGAATTTATCCTATGAGATATATTAGTTATAACACAGAAATATGCTTTGCATTTGGAATATTTGTATTTTTTTTATTTTGCCACAATTTGTATTTTCAATATAGAGATTTTGGATTGTCCAATAAAACTGCCCAATGACATTTATCAAGAAAGATGACCTTCGAAATATTATTTCCTCTCATAAAATAAGTACCTTCTCAGTGATACCACTATTTTGATCTGTATTTTGTATGATACAGATTTGTGACAAAACAAATCTGCTTTCTCAGCACCCCCCATGATAGTGTTGTAAACTTTGACAGCGTCAGGTTGACTGATAACATTTTTTTCCTTGCCTTTTTGCCATACCTTTTGCATGTTTGCTGTTATTATAATTCTATTTAAAAAATCAACTAACTGTTTAACACAATCATCCTCAAATTTTCTCATTACAGAGAATGTCCATTTACAACTGGACATGCTTGAAAGCAATTTGCATTTAATGTTGACAGATTTTCATAGTATCTCACAGGTATGTCGCTTACACTGGCAATGCAAAACAGTTGGCATATAAATGTTGGTGGGTTTTTGATACAAGTTTATTTGACAACCACATTATAATAAACACACTTACTTCATTTTGATTGATATATTTTACTCAGCGTGCACTATACTGCAGATTTTTAATTGATTAATTGTAAAAGTTTATTCCACTGCATCAATGTCACATAGTAAAAAATAAGCAATAAAATTCACTTGAACTAAAAAACACAAAATTTCTAGATTTTCTGTAAAAGCATCAGTATTTAGTAATAAATTTTTGTTTATGTTCTAGAACTTAGAGGGCAAAGTCCATTTCTTGGTTTGTTTAGGTCATTTTGTTTCATAGTCAATTTTTTTGCATCCTGAAAGATTTTATAATGGCATTCCTCATTTTTAACTTCTTTCTTAAACTCACTAGCTCTGATATTATATTGACTTGTTTCATTTTTGATCTCAAGTTTTTTATCATCGTTTTTTATCAAGTTTAAATACAAGTTTATCTTTACTTTTATAAATTTCTGGTAGTCATAAGGACCATTTAAATGAACAAATTATCAATAAACATAGTAAAAAAGGTTTTAAATTGAAAGTTTTATCTATGCTTTTATCATATATGTATTTATCGATGATTATGTAATATATTATCTATGATTATTGATATAATTTATAATAGGCATTTAAATATTTAATTTTAATAAGTTTTATTGCCGTTAAAAATAAAAAAAAGTAGCAATGTTGCAGTTGAAATAATAGTGTCTAAAAACTGATTAAAAAACTGATTATTGCACAATCAAGCATTCTTTTATCAAAAATAAAAAAAATACAAATATTTTCTTACAAATAATAATCCTAAAGTATAAAAATAAAATAGAAACATAACTCAACTGACTTCACATTGCAAATATTTAGATTCTGTGAATGAAATATTAGCCAGTAAACAGAATACACATGTTTTTTAATGAGCTCCAAATATCACTTGAGTCAATACACTTTCTTGTTTTTTCATTAAGAATAGATAATTTTATAAATGTCTATTCAATGGATGCAATGCATTAAAGATATATATATATATATATATATATATATATATATATATATATATATATATATATATATATATATATATATATATATATATATATACTTTTATACATGCAACAAATATATACATGTATATATTTACTTAAACATATAATATAAAATATATATATATATATATATATATATATATATATATATATATATATATATATATATATATATATATATATATATATATATATATATATATACTTTTATACATGCAACAAATATATACATGTATATATTTACTTAAACATATAATATAAAAAAAAAAAAACTTTACAAAAAAAATTACTTATAGTAGTATTAAAACTATAGTGTGAAAACTGTCTTAATTTAAAAACTGTCCTAATTTAAAACTGTCTTAATTTTTGCACACTTCAAGTTTTAAAATGCTAATTTTAATTCAGGTATTTTCCTATACAAAAAAAAAAAGGCAATAAATAAAGAAAAAAATCAAAATGTTTTGTAACAATTCTATATATCAGTCTAGGTCTATCTAACCTAGATTCAAATTGAAACCCTTGGTCAATGCATGTACTGAAGCCTGAACAGAGGTCAGTATGAAATACTGACCTCTGTACTTTTGTAGGGGCAGAGCATTTAATTCAACTAAATGCAGTGTTGAAAAAAAATGTTATTTTGATAAAAATAATAAAAAAACCATAAACATTTTGACAATATGTCAATTTCATTCAATATGTTGAAATTGCAATACCAATAATGGTATCCTATATTCAATATATACCTTTAATGAACAAAACCTGTTGTTTTGAAGAAGATGCAGAACATATTTGTCTTACAAACCTTAATTAATTTACTATTAAACAATACCATATTAGTCTAAATAATACATGTATATATATATATATATATATATATGCAAATAAAATAAGTCTTCATTTCTAAAACTTAATAAATGAAGCATCTGATGTGATTTAAAAACATAAAGAAGATAATACATCCTGAATTATTTATTTTTTTATATGGCTGCTAGGTTTAGATGATAAATTACTAATTGACTTTACTCATTCTCATCTTGACTCTACTTGGGGTTTTTTTTTTTGTGACTACTTGCAACTTTTTTTTTATCTTCTAATGAGGATGCAGCTTTAAAACTCAGTGTACCTAGTTTAAAAATAAATATTAAAAATATACTTTAAAAATCAGTGTACCTATTTCCCATAAAACCCCTGATTAGGATCCCCTGAGCAGAGGCGATTTTACGGGGGTGGAGGTAGGGTGGGGGTGGAGTGGGGTGGGGTTACACCCTCCCTAAAAAAAGTGATTTTCAAGTTACAGTTGGTTTTTTTACAAACTTAGTTGGCTAGTCGGGTATTTGACACATTTTAGTTAATTAAGTTTGTTTTTTTTTACTTTTTTTTTTTTAAAGAAGCCAGTTGGGGATTCACCGTCCCCCCTCATTTTATACATAGAATCGTCTCGGCCCCTGAGTATTTTTTTATGTGCTTTGGCATAGCACTCATCACAGATTTTATTAAGGTTAAATTTCAGGTTAACTTTGTGACTTGTCTAAAAGACAACTACCTACTACTACCTTAAGACTAACTGGGATTTTTATGATGATTTTCTTAGTATTGGTGATTGGGCTGATTTCTTTTTTCTCTCTGATGAAAATTGCACCTCCTTTATAATCAATTTCATTCAGAAAGACATGAAAGCTTATATTTCTTCTTGTCGCTTTCAAATCAAGCCTTATTTTATGTTGTCCTGACTCATACAATATTCAGTTTTTTAAGTCTTCTGTTAACTGCTTCCTTGCTTTCAACTCTCTCCTTTGCTTCTGTTTTTTGTCTCCTTTGCTTTCTGTTAACTTAAAACGTAATTAGTAGTTGTTTTCATCTTTAAAGTGATTTTTTTTTTAATCAAATAATTGAAGAATCTTTTGATTTAAATTTGATGAGAAAAATTAAAAAAGCAAAAACTAAAAAATTTAAAAAGCTTTAACTTTAATTTAAAACACCTAAATCAGTTGTCAATAGCAACAACACAGACTACTGGATCAAGAGATTTGATCTTAATATTGAGTTTTGGACAGTGTATTTCATACTTTGTTTGATAGGTCCATTAATAACATTTCTGTTGCTAATGGAACTACAATATTATACCTTTCTCTAGTAGTTTTTAAATCAGAGAAAAGAATAATATTCAATTATTTTGAGAGGTTTCAAAGTTTATACATTTTTTTATATATTCTTTTAATTAAAAAACAAGTAATTTTATTTTCAATTTTTTTTACAATTAGTTAAGTTAGACTTTAACAAAAATTTTATTTAAATATGAAAAGTTTGAAATATTTCTTTAGAAAATTCAAGTACGTTTAGACTTTTATATAATTTAATTTATGTTGTTACTCCTTTTACCAGTTAAAAATACATATTAAAAGTCTAACTTTTGAAAAACTCCTACGCATTTTGGGTGAGATAAAATTAAAAACATATATAAACTAAACAGACAGTTTTTTGAATTTTACCAAAAGAAAAAAGTATAAAATTAAATAATATGTCATTACTCAATTCTATTAAAAATCAGCTCTAAAATCTTTTATAGATGTTTTAAATTCAAAATCCCTTGATGATGATTCAGAATGTGGTTGGTAGTAAATCAATACAAACTGTTTTACAGTTTGTATTGAATTGTTATATTTTGCCTGTTGAAAGTTGTATTGCTTTTAAAGTATTTAAAAGCAATCAAAAAAAATTATTAATTACCAATAGTTTTAGAAACAAAGGTTGATGCAACTTCAGATATACCAGGTTTTATTTTTTTGACAATGTCTTCTAACACAATAGCAGCCATTGAGTTTAAACTTGAAGATGCTGTACTAATATAACAATAATTTATTAATTTACAAAATTAAAACTAACTATAACAAAAAAAAAGACAAAACAAGTTAAGTTATGAAAAATTAGTTTTTAATAAATTAAAAACAAATCTAATTCAAAACAAAAAATATTGTTTTTGTTTAATAAATCAATTTAATTTTTTTTATTTTTTGCCTATATTGATTTAACATTATATTGTGTTAAGTGGCTTTGTATTATTACTATTAAAGTGGTTTAGCATTATTAATATCTAAGTGGCTTCGTATTACTACTAACATGTGATACCTAGAAATCTGGACAAAACTAAAAAACTTATAACTTTGAAACTAAAGGTGCAATTTTATTTCTGTAAAAAGATAATTAAAGTTAAGCATATGAAGCTTCAGATTTAAAAAAATTATAAGTTTATCATTCCATGTCTGCGAACTTTGTCCACTTGGCTGAAAGAAACCTTGCCAAGTCGATGTACGCGATCTTGACTGATCCCTTTTATGCAGTAGCTGATCCTGTAAGTGAGCTGGTCCACGGTATTTGCTCTCCAGCCACGATCATATACTCTTCGCTTGAGTTCTGACCAAAAGTCTTCCATTGGTCGGAGTTCTGGCACATTAGCAGGGTTGCGCTCTTTTGGCACGAACTTGATGTTATTCGCTTGGAGGAACTCCTGCGTTTTCTTTGCGTAATGAGATATAGCGAGGTCAGCCAGAAAACAATCTTGTCGTTCTTATGAACTGTTTCAATGAACGGAATCAAGCGCTTCATCAAGCACTTCTGGATGTAGACATCTTGATTGATCGCTTGGCCCAAAGGTGTCACCAGGTGCTTCGACAGGCCGTCCTTGGACATAGCAATCCAAACAAGTACCTTTAGCTTAAACTTGGACTTGCGCTTGACTTTAACAGCTTCTGGGGTCATTTCGACGTCAGACGTGTAGAAACCAGCGTTTCCAGATAGCTTGTTATTGCTCAACAAAAAATAGGACTCGTCGATGATCATCTTTTTTTTCCGGAAATCTCTGGCCAGGTGGGCACACTTAGGACAAACAGCTGACTTCTGTTGCGGAGTTCGATCCGGAACTTTTTTCTTCTTTTTGTATTTGATTGTTGTCTTGGTGCTAATTGTTTGTGATATATGCTTTTGGCTGACACCATACTCGCGGGCTAGCTGACACTGGCTAATTTCGTCACTATGATCGATTCGCTTTTTCAGCATGGTGATTCGCTTTGTGTTCATCTTGATTGCCACCCGTCCAGTTCCACGCTCTCTTTCAAGACCTATTTTAAGCAACTTGCGCTGCAGAATATCATACAGGGTCGATCTTGATGCGCCTTCGATCATGAAGTGTCTCACAATCTCACTTTTCTTCATATCCGGATGCAAATCAATTAACGCGTACACGCGCTTTCTGAGGTCTTCCTGTTTTGATATAAGTTTCTTTGCCATAATAAATAATTGTTTGCTAAAAGATATATTGCAATTTGTAGAGAATTAAATTTACTACAACATAGCATAAGTTGCAACAATTTTGCAATTTTGTCCGGATTTCTAGGTATCACATGTTAAGTGGCTTGTACTATTACAATCCAAGTGGCTTAGTATTATTAAAATCCAAGTGGCTTATTTTCATTACTTTCCAAATGGCTTAGTATTATTACTATTCAAGTGGCTTAGTATCAATACTTTTCAAGTGGCTTAGTATTAATACTATCAAAGTGGCTTGGTATCAATACTTTCCAAGTGGCTTAGTATTATTACTATCCAAGTGGTTTAGTATTATTACTATCCAAGTGGCTTAGTATCAATACTTTCCAAGTGGCTTAGTGTTATTACTATCTAAGTAGCTTAGTATCAATACTTTCCAAGTGGCTTAGTATTATTACTATCCAAGTAGCTTAGCTTATTTATTGTTCATACTTATCTTCCCTTTTATTTGTAATGAGTTCATGCAACTTGTTTTTTCACGCAGCTGCTTTGTTTGTGTAGGTTCATGTTTCCGAGTTATAGAGTTGAAAAAGGGTTGTAACTGCAGCTAATTACGACTGAACACCTACTTTACTGCGTTTAGTTACAATTAAACACCTACTTTACTGCAATTAATTACAATTGAACACCTAATTTATTGCAGTTAATTATAATTGAACACCTACTTTACTGCAGTTAATTACAATTAAACACCTACTTTACTGCAGTTAATTACAATTAAACCACTACTTTACTGCAGTTAGTTACAATTAAACACCTACTTTACTGCAGTTAATTACAATTAAACACCTACTTTACTGCAGTTAGTTACAATTGAACACCTACTTTATTGCAGTTAATTACAATTGAACACCTACTTTACTGCAGTTAATTACAATTAAACACCTACTTTACTGCAGTTAACTACAATTAAACACCTACTTTACTGCAGTGAGTTACAATTGAACACCTACTTTACTGCAACTTTATTACAATTTTTCTTTAGTTTACATCTTAATCTATTGCTCAAGTTATTAAAAATAATAAGTCAATTGTTTTCTAAAAACATTTTCAATATTGATGCATTTTTAGAGCATTTTCAATGTTTCTTGCTTATTAATTATAATTAAATTTCTTATTTCAATTAATGCTGTTGTTATTTATTTGGTGTATAGAGTTTTTAACAGCTATTTGATTATTAACATAGCTATGATTGTTTATGTTTTGAATTGGTTTTTAATCAAGGGTAGTATTCAATATCTTTGAAAAAGACATTAAATAGGTTAATAAAATATAAAATCCATGATATCAACTAATTTTTTATTTTTTGTTGTTAATAAGTAATTAATTAAAAAAAATTTCTCTATTAAGATAAATTCACATAGAAAAGTTAGAGAAACTTCTCTACAGAATGATGCTAAAAGTTTATTACAGTTTATGAATAACTGCATCATAAAACTTTTTTTAATAAACTAAATAAAGAATAAAAATAATAAACAACAAATTGAATTGATCACCTATTTTACTGCAGTTTATTGCAATTTTTTTTAGTTTACATCATCATCTATTGTTCAAGTTTTTTTAATAATAAATTGTTTTCAAAACATATTTTCAATATGGGTGCATGTTAAGAGCATTTTTAATATTTCTTACTTTTTAATTATAATTTAATTTCATATTTTAATTATTGTCCTTGCTATTTAATTGTTGTATAACACTATTAACAAATATTTGATTACTAACATAGCTATGATGTTTTGAATTGCTAACATATAATAACGTTTTGAAATGGTTTTTGAAGGGATCCCAAACTCCCAACACATGTTGTGTTCATAGTTCAAGATAATGTTAAAAAAACAGGATTGAACCAAGTTTTTTTGATTTAAAATAAATAATGAATGCATACCGAGAAAAACTAATGTTGTTGTTCTAGTTAAAGCTTGCCTTCTCCTTTTTATTCAATAACTCGGAGTCTTCAAATTATACGTTGCCATTAACAGACTTCGGCAATTCCTTTGAAGTGCGTTTAATTCATAAAAGTTTTAGTATTTGACGCCACGGTAGAATTTTAACAAATGAAAAGTGTAATTGAAGACCTCTGTGCAAAAATGATGTAAATCCACTTTTTATCAATTTTAAGGTTTTAATGTATTATAAGTATATTTAGTTCTATCAGTATATAAATGATTAAAGCACTTCTGGTATAATTAAACACATGACTTGGTAAAAAAATATGTATTTCCTACATATAAAATTATTCCGTTTTTTCTTTCTCCTGAACAATTTGCAAAAATAGAGTTACATTGTTTAAGCACCAAGGTCTTCAATTAATTAAAGCTGCATTTTTCTACTTTAATTCAAAAAGTATGTATTTGAATATTTATTTTTATGTAGTATTTTTTTAACATACAGCAAAACAAATTTATTTGTATTATTTTTCCAAACATAGCAAAAATATTTTTGTAAAAAGCAAAAATGATAAATTATTTTTATTTTAAAGGAGCAACTTTTTACAGATATCTTAATAATTTTTCGATTTGTATAACTTACTTATATTTCTTTTATTTTTAAATTAAAACAAATATTAAAGCTTTACTTACCAATTTTATGATTTTCAAACGAGTATTTTACATTATATAGAACATTATAAATACGGTCTTTCATTTTTGTGCCAGAGAGCGCAGTATTATATATTCTGAATCTTACTTATTTTCATTTAAACAATTTTAACTTCTTTTAACTTTCTTTTCTTTTTCTTTTTTCTTTGAATTTCTCTGGTCATTTTTACTCAACAACATTTTTTATTTTCCTGTTGAAAAAAAAGTATTAACAATTACTTTCATTAACTGACAATATTAATTAGAGATATTTGATGAGCTGTTAAATTTTTTTATTATAAAATTTTTTTGATTTTGTTGGTTTAATTTAAATTACTAAATTTGTTGATGTGGATATGGATAAAATAGAAATATCATTTTATTTTGCATTTGATTTTTGATAAAATGTCAGCAATTTTATACCAATTAGAACCTGTTAAAATTATGAAATAAAAGTACAAGAATACTCTAAACAATACAGTTGGCAGTAGTGTCAGATATGAAAATTTGTGAAAGGATATGTGAGATTCTGGTTTTGCATTACAAGTACAATTAATAGCAGCACAAGTCATCATTATAAATTTTGATTATAAGTTTACTGTTTAAATTTTATAACCATCAAATTAAAAACATAAAGTACGTATCTTTTTGCCCGTTTTATACAACTAACATTTAACAAAAATACAGACAAACTATTATTAATTAACGCAATAATTAACACATTAATTAATGGCACTAATTTAAGATAGATGGTAACTTAAATTCTCAAAATGTCGTAACACGCATTAAAAACATATTATATTTGGTATTTCTCAATTTATGTTTCATATTTGGCATTTTTCTATTAACAAGGAAAATAAAAACTTTTCTTTCTTAACATAGAACTAATCTTAGAGAGAAAATTAAATTAGAAAAAAATCAGCAATTAGCAAAGCAACTAACAGTTTAATATTAATGAAAATAATCAACATAAACAACATTACCAACAACAATAATCAAATAAACAACACAATATCGCATAATTTTAGGGACTTTTAACTTTTATTGCTTAGCTGTTATAAATAAGAAGTAAATTTAGTTCAAGTTAATATTTCAATATTTACGGTTGCAATATAATAAAGAAATGATGTTAAATGTTCAACTTTTTATTTAGTTATTTATTTTTTACCTACATTTGTTGTAAAAAACTTTAGAACCTCATTAAAATAATTTGTTTTAAATATATTTTGACTTAATTATTTAAACTATTTTTTTTCGTTTGACTTCCCGAACTTCATGCAAAGCAAATTCAGACAAAATATTGTCTAACCAAATAAAAATGCTGTAACTAGTTTTATACAAGTAATTATTATGAAACAATTTTTTATCAGAATCTTGATTGAGATAATAAATACTTTATCAATTATTAACATTAAATAAAGCGCAATAACAATTTATAGCAACAAACAAGCATAAAATATTTGAGGTTTATAATATCTTTTTAAATGTTAAAATTAGAAAATAAATAACTAAACAAATAATGAAAAAATTTATGAATAAAAATAAAAAAATTTTCAGAGTTTCATTTGTCAAAAGTCTACCATGATGTCAAATACTAAAACTTTTATAAATTATAAGCGCTTCAAAGGAACCACCAAAGTCTGCAGATTGCAACGTATAATTTAAAGACTCATAGTTTTTAAATAAAATAAAGAAGGCAAGCTTCGGCTAAAACAACAACATTTATTTTTTCTCAATATGTATTCATTTATTTTTAATCAAAAAAACTTAGTTCAAACTTTTTTTTTTTAACATTATCTTCAATATGAATACAGCATATGAAGGAGTTTGGGATCCCTTTAATGTTTTTGTTTAGTTTGATTGTTTTGTTTCAAAAAAATATAAAAAAATTATATCAAAATCTTTTTTTTAAAGATTTAAATATTAAAAAAAAAAGTTGAAAAAAAAATTTGAATTGGTTCAAACATGAAAATGAACATCAGTTCTTTATCTTAAACATCTTCATCATTAATTAAAAAGTTCTTCATTAATAAATTTCATTTAACAAGTTAAATTAATTAAAAAGTTCTTCTATATTAGTTTAATAAATTGCATTACACCTTCATTATGTTACTATAACAAAAAAAAATACCTCAAGGATCCGCTGAACAAACATGATATAAATAAACCAGCAACACCTTTCAGATGACCCATTTTATGAATGATAAAATACGGGAGCACCTTTTTAAATAACAATTTTTAAACAAACAATAAAAATTTTCATTAGCAATAATTCAAATAAAAATTTTACAACATCCACATTATATAGTTGTTATATATTTCAAATAAAAATTATACATCCACATTATACACTACATTATATGTAATATAATAACATCCACATTATACACTATATTATATGTTATATAATAAGTTTGTAACTAGCCATCTTATTCAATAATACAAAAGCCATAATTGTGTGGGAAATAAGTTCTTAAAAAATTACTTCAATACTTGTTTATATTATAATCCATTTATTAATGTTTTAAAACTAATTAATTTGAATATTTTTAAACTAAAACAATTGAATAAAAAAAAAGATGATGGTTTTTGATATAAGTTTCTTTGGTTCAATTCTTTCAAATTCAAGTTTCTTTGGTTCAAATTGGTTCAATTTAAAAAAATAGAAGTTAATAGTTTAAAACTATTTTATTTAAATTTAAAATCTTAATTTACCTGATCATTACTCTTCACAGCTTTTATTCCATTTACTCCAATATTACATTCATGGTAGACTGCATAAATAATCAAACCATCCATTGCACATAGTAAAACAATAAATATAAGACCTGGCATATTCATCAAAAGCGCCCTTGATACAAATAAAATTAAAATTAAATAATTTTTAATATTTTCTTATTAAATACATTTAGTATATATATATATATATATATATATATATATATATATATATATATATATATATATATATATATATATATATATATATATATATATATATATATATATATATATATATATATATCTATATATCTATCTATATATATATATATATATATATATATATATATATATATATATATATATATATATATATATATATATATATATATATATATATATATATATATATATATATATCTATATATATATATATCTATATATATATATATATATATATATATATATATATATATATATATATATATATATATATATATATATATATATATATATATATATATATATATATATATATATATATATATATATATATATATATATATAGATATATATAGAGATATATATATAGAGATATATATATATATATATATAGATATATATATATATATATATAAATATATATATATACATATATATATATATATATATATATAAATATATATATATATATATATATATATATATATATATATATATATATATAATTTCTTTTTTATGTACATTGTAGTATACTCAGTAGCACTTTTATTAACAGTACTTTTTTGTTAAGATTTATACCCTCCTTCCCTTCCTGAAAAAAAAGTTTTTTTTTTAAATGCTTTCACTTTCCTAAGGTTGAGATTAGAGCTTCAGTTAAGGAAATTATTTTTTATTTTTGTACAACCCTCTTTTAACCCTAACTCTGAAACACAAATCTTGACAATCAATTACACCATGTGGAGAAACATTAAAAAAAAAAAGTAGATAAACAAGTTGAAAACATGCATAATACACATAATAAATCAAGTTTCAAAAATTTGAAAAATCAAGTTTGTTATAACTTGTGAATAATGTGAGCAATTAAAGAAACGTAACAGAGTTTTAAAGCTTAAGCAATTTGAAAAAAATTGAAATAAGCATAATACTCTGAGTAACTACTTTCTGTTCGCTATGCTAATTTTTTAACTAATGTTAATAAATTAGTTCAAGTTAAAGTTTTTTCTTTTCTGCTATCATAGTTTGGTTCATATATATTTTACCAAATTTTGATAACTCTTGTAGTCCCTCATACCCCCTAATGATTTGACAGGTCCCATTACTTTCAAAATGAAATATTTTAAAAATAAGTCAAACTAGATCCCAATAAAAGCAAAGTAGTATAAAAATTTAAAAAAGTTATTTATTATGTTGCAAAAAAAAAAAATAATTAAAAAAACATTGAAAAAATAAACCTTTTTATTATTTACTAAAAACTAAGAGTTTTTATGCAATATAATCAAAATTTATAAACTATAACTTTATATGATTATATTTAGTATATTTAAAACTATTTTAACTATTGGCTAATTTTATTTACTAATATTTACTTTTGACTAATAATAGACAAAATAATATAATTTACTAATAATAGACAAAATAATATAATTGACAAAGTATTAAATTGACTAATAATAGACAAAATAATATAATTTACTAATAATAGACAAAATTAGTTAAAATAGTTTTAAATAACCCATTTATTATAATAACTATTTTTTAAAAAAAATTTCTTATTTCTCAAATGGTTTATAAAAAGTCCTTTGGTCATTATTTCGAAGAAAAACTAATTTACTATTGCTTAAGTACCAAAAACTATAAAACACAAAAAACCATCATTGTCACCAAGTTTTCTATCTTTCTTTGTAGACCACCTATCATTCCCTAATGATCGTGGTCTACAAAGTCACTTTTCTTCTGTTGAGTCTTATTTCTTGCAATGTTTACCAGACCTACTTGATCTTTGGGAGACTAATTTGAGTTTGGCTCTCTCATCGTCTAATTATAGTGTTGATGGTTATCTTCTTTTAATTAGTAAAGACTCCAATAGTAACATGCTTGCCCATACATTTTTTCTTCACAAAGAAAATCACTCTCTCCGTGATTTTCTTTGTGATGGTCTTTGGGTAGAGACCCTTCGTCTTGTTAATGAAAAATAAGCTTCTTACATAACTTTGTGGATTCAGGCTGGCATGAAATCTTTTAATCCCTCTCGACAATTTCAGGTTAAGCCTCACTATTCTCCATGGTTTTCCTCACATTGTGCTGCTTCAATTTCCTAACGAAACCGTCACTTCCATATCTAACAATTCTCTAGAAAACAGACATCTGTTTATTATTACAAGAAACAATTGTAAAAAAGTTTTGTCTAATGCAAAAATTGAAAAAAAAAAAAAAATTCTGAGATGAAATACAAGATTTTGAAATCTCATATATCATCTCAGAAATTAGGCTTTCTTGACTTCTGGAGAATATTTAACAGTATCAATAATAAGGGCAAATTTATTATTCTACCTCTTTCGTATGGTTCAGACTTTGTTATCTCACCTAAAGTCAAAGCTAAACTATTTTTCTAATAACTTCTCATCAATATCATTTCTTGGTTACACTAGTTGCATTCTATCTAATATAGCTGTCAAACAGGTTGATCCATTACTTGACATTTGTATCACTCCAGTTTCTATATCTAAAGTGATTACGTGCTTCAGCACCTTGTGGTTCGGACAACATACCTGTTATAGTTTTCCAACAAAAGTAGGAAATCTGGAAAGTATCATTTGTTATCCTTCTTTTCAAAAATTCTGGAGAGCAATCTGACTCTTCCAACTACCATCCCATTAGTCTTCTATCTAGGTTTTTAAATCTTAAATTAACAAACCCTTAATCTCTTGACTTGAATCTAATAACTTACTTTCTGATCATCAATATGGATTTTGATCTTCTTTTTCTACAGCTGATTTGCTAACAGTATAAACCAATAGGTTTTATTGTGCATTAAATAGAGGTGAAAAGTTTAAGGCTCTTGACATTTCTAAAGCTTTTGATAAAGTTTGGCATGCTAGTCTTCTCCATAACCTTTCTTATTATGGTGTATCTGGTAACATATTTAAGATTATTGAACCCCTCCATACCAATTGTAGAATAAAAGTTGTTCTCTATGGACAGCACTCTAATCTTGGGGACATCACTTCATATCCTGTAACTTCAGGGGTTCCTCAAGTTCAATCCTTGGCCCTATACTGTTTTTAATTTACATTAATAATCTTCCAGATATTCTCACATCTAAGGTGGCATAGTTCGCTGATGATACTACCATTTATTCTTGCCATGATAAGAATCCAACACTCTCTGATTGCTTGGAAGGGGCAAATAAGCTTGAAAAAGATCTCACTTCTGCTACAACATAGGACCATGCTGTAGCAGAAGTGTAACCCAATTTTTTTCAGCTAATCTTTATCACAACAATTTAAATCTTCCTATATTTATGAACGGTAATGTATTCGAAGAGTTATCTACCCTTCAATTTCTAGGATTAACTCTTATCTTTCTTGAAAACTGTACATCAAATCTAATGCAAAATTAACATTTGCTAAGGTTGCATCTCTTTATCGTGCTTAGCATTTTCTCACTTAAGATACTATTCTTTATCTTTATAAATCTCAAATCTGACCTTGCATGGAATACTGTTGCCATATCCGGGGCGGATCTTCCAATGATGCCCTTTCTCTTTTAAACGATTGCAAAAACGCATTGTAAACATAGTTGAAACTGCTCTTGCAGCCAACCTCCAACCATTATCACATTGTTTTAATGTTGCTTCTCTTTCTCTTTTTTACAAATACTATATGTGCACTGCTCTGAATAGCTAGCGTCTCTTGTGCTATCTATTAAAATTTTATTTCCTAAGTACTCCAAAAACTCTTATTCCTCCAGTTTTTTTCCTTGAACATCAGTTCTTTGGAATTCGCTTCCTTCATCTTGCTTTCCTGATTCATATAATTTGCAATCTTTCAAGTTTTTTGTCAATCGTTATCATGCTCTATAAACTTCCTCTTTTCTTTTCCAATAACTTCCAACTCTAATAGTGGTTGCTTGCAGCCTTGTTGGAAGTGAAAATGTTGGTAATAGTAAAAAGAGGTAAATAAATAATAATCTAGTAACAAATTATTTTTGGTACAACTTCTTTTTTTTTTTCTTATTTTAAATTCAATTAAATATTTCTTTATTAATTTTTTTAATAAGTTTTTTAGTTATAAATTTGTTATCTTAAATACAAGAAATTTTGTTTTATGGATATTGTATTATGGATATGGATTATAAGAATATTTGTTTTATGGTTTACTTTTTACAGCATTTTGACAATAAAAATTTGATATCATTGTTTGCATTTGACTTAGCATGACCATTACCAAAATAATACTTATGATATGAAATGATCTTTTGTTATTTAAAACCTAGTTTCTATGAACAAATAATTACAACATACCTTTTAGCTTCAGCAATGCTTTTTGCAGCTTGGAATCGTTGAACAGTAGGTTGAGAAACTGTCCATGCAGACAATCCACTAAAAGTACCACCAATGGTTAGTGTCCAAAATGTATTCCTAACTGTTGGATCTGGATTAAAGCTAAGAAAAGCATATATATATATATATATATATATATATATATATATATATATATATATATATATATATATATATATATATATATATATATATATATATATATATATATATATATATATATATATATATATATATATATATATATATATATATATATATATAAAATATATATATATATATATATATATATATATATATATATATATATATATATGTATATGTATATATATATGTATATATATATGTACATATATATATATATATATATATATATATATATATATATATATATATATATCTACATATATATACATATATACATATATATATTAATACATATATATATATATATATATATATATATATATATATAGCGGTAGTGGTATAGTGGTAGAGCGCTTGCTTCATAAGCGAGAGGTTCCGAGTTCAATCCCCACCGCGCGATCTGGTAGTACCACCCTTAACTAGTTTCTCCACGCAGCGGCCTTGTTTGTCAAGGTTCGTGTTTCGGAGTTATAGAGTTGAGAGAGGGTTATATAACCACAAATAAGTAGCCTCCTCGTCTGTAGTGGCTTCTCGGCCTTGAGGAGGTAAATTAACAAATATATATGCATATATATATATATATATATATATATATATATATATACAGTATCGAACAAAACAAGTGCAACCAAATAATGCTAATTTAGTTTCTTTATATAAAAGTGCTGCATTTTTTCAATTAAGAGAAATAACTATGTAACTGTTCAGAGACAAGGTTCTACAAGTTTTATTAACCACAAAGTTCATTATTTGTACATGAAAATTAATAATTAAAAAAAAGTTGATTTCCTTCTGGACATCTGGACAAAACAAAATGCTGACCAAGCTGTATTTCGCTATCAATATTTCGTGACAAATCCTTTGTTGTCGATCACAGCCTCGCATCTTCGAGGCATAGATCCGATCAGGTGATCAATGAAACTTTGTGGAATCACTGCCCAGGCCTTTTAGATTTGTTCAAACAGTTGATCCTTATTATATTCAACATCATTGGGAGTGATGGCAAATGCCATCACTCCCAATGATGTTGAATAGATGAACAGGACAGTTCGCTATTTCTGCACATTCCAGTCAATATGAGATGTAGCAAATAGAATTCTTTTCTTCTGGTTCTTTGTGAAATTAGCGGTTTCTTTGCAGGGCGTTGAGAAAACAATTTGACTTCAACAGCACGATGTCTGATTGTTCGGTCCGATAGAGGCAGCTCTAATTGCTTTTGTATCTCGACTGATGATATCCAGGGATCCTTCTTGACGGATCTGACAATCATAGAATCTTCTCTAGAAATGGTGGAACGTGGTCTTCCACCTTTGTTATCTGCTGCCAACTTCCCCGTAGAATGATATTTGGAACATATTCTTGATAAGGTCCATTTTTTCAGGCGATATTTATCACAAATACTTTTTTGTGACATTCCACTTAAGTAATTGCCAATAATTTTCTTTCTTAGTTAAAAATCCAAGACTGTCAGGAGCCGTTTTTGCACTTAAAGTCATAAAAATAATAAAAATAAATAATCACGCTTCTCAAGGCTTACCGTGTTACATTTACCTTGTGATGATACAATAATGCTCTGTGGAACACAACGTCTTGGTTGGATGTGGACTGTATTGATGTAATGAAACACTTGTTGTATTTCACTTCTTGTATTGATGTTCTTCGATAAAACAATTTGATAAAACTCACTTTGATAAACTGTCTTGATAATACTGACTGATTGACTTCCATATACTGACTGAATTACATGTTGGTTTGCATGTCTCTTATATAGTAAAATGAACCTGTGTGAACCTGTTCTGGAAGATTTTAGATGCTTCTTTTCAATGCTTCTGGAAGCTTCTGAATGTTTCTGGATACTTCTGGTTGCTTTGTCCAGAAGTATCCAGAAACATTTGTCTAATACTGTATATATATATATATGTATAAACGTTTTATCAAACCAATAATTTACTTTTCTTTTTTAAAATATAGAGTTTTCCCAATTTAGTTTTTTAGCACCTCCATAGTTTTATTACAAGCTAAACATATATATATATATATATATATATATATATATATATATATATATATATATATATATATATATATATATATATATATATATATATATATATATATATATATATATATATATATATATATATATATATATATATATATATATATATATATATATATATATATATATATATATATATATATATATATATATATATATATATGTTTAGCTTGTAATAAAACTATGGAGGTGCTAAAAAACTAAATTGGGAAAACTCTATATTTTAAAAAAGAAAAGTAAATTATTGGTTTGATAAAACGTTTGCAACCAACAAAAATGTTGGTTGCAAACGTTTTGTCTAATACTGTATATATATATATATATATATATATATATATATATATATATATATATATATATATATATATATATATATATATATATATATATATATATATATATATATATATATATATATATATATGTATATATATATATATATATATATATATATGTTTAGCTTGTAATAAAACTATGGAGGTGCTAAAAAACTAAATTGGGAAAACTCTATATTTTAAAAAAGAAAAGTAAATTAGACTATGGCTTTGATACTTAGTGGTTTAATTGGTTGGCCCGATAAAATATAGTTAAACTTTTGTGTAAAAGTTGCTAAAAAGTTATTGGTCTCATTTATTATGAGAAAAAGGTCACCTAGCATAACCTTGAATGCATGCTGGGTCTCATATAAAAGTAAAAAAATTTTCTCTTTAAAGTTATGTCAGTATAAGTCTAGAAAGAACCTGCTCAACTGGTTATTTTTCTGCTAACTTTGTATTGCAAAAGCAACAAAAATTCTTTTCTTTTTGACTGGTAAATCATGACTTTTTCCAATGTACGCCACCATGACAATACAGACATTAGGTTATTCTGCTGGATGTGGTTATGGCACTTGAAACCTAATAACCAAGTTGAACGCACATGCACATGCTTATTTGGAAGTTCAAAAATACTCATAGGATCAGCACTTGCTGACTATGTGTTTAGAGATAAAATCTCACTTCATAAGCACATCAAGCATAAGTAGTAAGTGTGTTTAGCTTTCTATTCACCCAATTTAAAAGTGAAGAAAACATAACAATACTATAAAAGACAACTAGATGGAACAAAATGATGCAACACAACACCTCTGTAGACATAAATAGTCTCTAATATCACTCTAATTGTTTTTTTTTTTTAATTTTCATTTCACATATTCTTCTTTTGGTCATTATTTCATAAGCTAATATTTATACTGAAAACAAACATTTTAGTATGTGTTAATAGGTTTGAAATTCTAAATGTACAAATAAACCATGCAATTCTGTGACATGTATTTCTAGCCAATCAAACTACAAAGATTTTTTGTTTCATTTGACATTGCTAAGTCACTGTTTTATTCTTATTACTGTAAAGTCTTCATTTACTTCTTATTGTTATTCTTATCTTAATATCAACAATATATGTGCCTATATTCGCTCATTGAATTAAGTAAGGTTGAATTAGAGTTATTATCTATATTTTGGCTTTTTTTCATTTATTGTTATTACACTTATTAATGTTTGATGCAACCATTTGTGTTCTAGGGATTTTACATTTTACTGTTTGTGTATATGCCGCTTTTGCATTTTGCTGTTTATATTATATATATTGTTTATATCTTTTATATTTATTGCATATACTTATTTTGTGTGCTTGTATTTTTTTGTGTGCATGTATACTTGTCTTTATTTTCATATTTTTTTCTAATAATGATTGGCGTTGGATAAATTCCTAAGAAGTTTGGGTGTTTGGCTTATTTTTAGAGAAGTCCATTTTATTCCAACAATTACTTAGGCAACAGGCAATCAAAAATGGTAAGAATGCATCCCTGACAACCCATGCTGGCCATTTATACCTGGTTCTCCAAAACATCTTTGGTAAATATATTACAACCCTGATGATGGAGTTTTACTCCACAGGACATTAATATATTGAACCAAAAGCTTATAAAATAGTTTTTGGTTCAACTTTTGCTAATTAGCATACTTTATTTTTAAATATTTTTTTTTTGTTGCTCAGTTAAAAAAAAATTTTTTTCTGACTGAGCAACAAATGAAAAAATTGGATCTCCCTTAGAGTCTGAGTTTATAATTTTTATTGCATGCATGTTGTTTTATTATTATTTTTATTACGTGCTTTACTTTAGTAACTTTATTTTGTTTTGAATATCTGTTCAACATACCATTTTGATTTTTTAAAGAACTATACAACGATAATAAGTTTTAAAGAACTATACTACAATATTATAAGATAATAATTTATTTTTTGCTGAGTTGTTTTTAATTAATAATATTATATTGATATTCAGTTATTTTTAGTTAGTTTTACAGTTTTACTAAAAAATATTACATGCTTATTCATTTTTATAAGCATATTTATTCATTCTTATATGCGTATTTATTCATTCTTATATGCGTATTTATTCCTTCTTACATGTGTTTTAAAAAAGCACAGTTTATTCAAAACAAATTGTTTTTGTTTCCTGGCAAACCAGGTTGAAAATACTTAAGACAAAGACTTTTTACATTCAATGTAAAAAGCCTTAAAATTGCAGCTTCATTTTGTACTTTTATTACTACAATATTGGCACCAGCGATCAGGAATGCAGATTTTAGCCAAAAAAATAACTAGATTAGTTTATGTCAGAAAGAAACAAAACCTGTGGCAAATAATCTTAATAATACATCAAAAAATTCTGAAGTTTCTAAAGAAACAATCCTTATCAGTGAAAACAAAATGATCAAAATAGGAAATAAAAATCTCAAAAGGAAACTTGAATCAATTCTAAATTTAAAATTGGATTATTTTAAAAAACTAAAGGATTTTATCATTTATCAAGATATATCAAAGAATCTGCAAATACTTATTTCAAAAAATT